CCCCAAAACCCCAAAACCCCAAAACCCCAAAACCCCAAAACCCCTTTTTTTACTCTAAACATTGAATACAATTACTCCCTTTACTCAAAATTTGCCGTTTAAATTCTCAGTCCTCTACAGAATCATTACTTGCTTATTTGTCTCCTGTTCATGCTGACCTTGCTCAATACCCTTTATATCCCTATCAGGCGAGCTTATTGTTGAAGAAGACAGGGGGGTTTGGGATGGGCGCAGGTACTTCTCTTCGAAGGAAAGGCCTTCGGAACTGTATGGGACTGGACAAGCTACAGGGGCGGGACAAGGACATTGTGAAGGCTTAGGGGTGTCAGTGAAGCTAGAGGAGGTGAAGGTCAGGAATCTAGGTTTAGTGCACACCTTATCGTCCATTCTGATGTCAACTACTCGGTTTTCTATGAGAAAGTGAGAAATGAAGGCTTTTGTAATAAATAGTGAAATTTGTGCATACCTTTAGACTCCCTCAGACTGGTCGCTCTTTTGTAGTTGATACTAGCATTCACTTGTTTAGAGTGCTTCTTTGCATATGTTTTGAGAAGATTGAAACCTTTAGAATTTTTACTTAGGTTTTTCGCCAAAGACTTCTTTGGTGTTGAATGAGTATTTCGGGGTCCATAATTTTTAATTTTATAACTGAATCTAGTAAAACTTTTGTTTGGAGAAGGTTTATTCTTCCTCTCTGAGAGACTCCGGTCAAAGGTTTTCTTAACTTTTGGACTAGTGCCAAATTTCTTCTGGATTTCTTCCATGTATCCTTTTGAAGCTGACTGGGGTCTCTTCGAGTGTAATACTGGACTTTTCTTACTTCTAGAATGTTCTCTAGATTTAGCCAGATCAACATAAAGATGATGTTTGTTTGAATTCAGCTTCATTTTCATGTAGACTCTATCAATAGCCTTCATTACTTTGTGGTTGACCTTCTTCTCATTGAGTCTGTGGCATTACAAGATAACTTACTGGAGCAACTTAGTGTTGTTCTTGGTAATCATTGTTTTTCTGACAGTTGTACATTTATTTATTAATTTTCTTGGTCGATGGCTTCTTGGAGATAGTCTTTGGAGATGACTGAGTCAAATATTCCTTCTTATTTATGCATCTTGAAGTCTTGAAAGCTGAGATTGGTGATTCATTCCTGCTGGAGCTTCTTCCTAAAATATTTAAGTTTAGGTTTTTACTCAGAAAGATAAAGTAGAATGAGGTTAATTATTAAAGATAGTTTTAATTTAATTTTTAGTTACCCTGACTTTTCTCTTTTGGACTAGCTAATTTGTATTGAATCTTCATTGATTTTATGTGCTTTGTGGCAGTCTTGTATGACTCGCCAGCTTTATTTTTAACGTTTACTAAGTTTAGGCTTATTCTATTAGCTTTTAAGTTGTCTTTTGTTTTCTTGATTTTTTCTATAAATTAGCTTTAAAAATTATTAGAAATGATGCAGAGCAAGGGTTGAAACTTACTTGGAGTCTGTGTTGGTATCACATCTCTTATATCTTCGTTCATTGGTTTCGGTTTTGTGTTAAATTTGAATGCAAAAGGAGTTTTTCTCTATTTTAAGTAAATCCTACCATCCACAATAAATCTGATTAAATTTATCTTACCTTGATGTGCTTTGCCTTTGTTCTATTGTGTCTATACTTTTTCGCATATCCTTCTCGTGCATCTCTACTCTTTAAATGATCTTCTTCCATTTTTATTATCAAATGTTTTCAGTCTTAAACACATTCCAAGGGGTTTTGGGGTTTTGGGGTTTTGGGGTTTTGGGG